ACCAAGCAAACCGCAACTCCGGCCTCTCCCCTTGTATGCTGCTTACAGAAAAACAACTTCCATTTACAAAAACAAGGGTCAGACGGCACAGGGGAGCTGCACGTCGTCGGAAGGAGAGCTCAGAGAGACATCATGTTCACACACGGTACAGGGAAATGCTAGCGCACTGACACTTCACTTAGACTTCTGTTTCATCAAAACCGGTCTGGGGCCGCCTCTTCCACTCCAGGTTATCTGATGCAGGGCAACACTTTGGTCTACATGCACTCCCATCAATTCCTGCCTGCACATGCCCCGGACAGAGTAGGAAGTACATAGCGTAGACAAAGCTGCCCTGTGCTTCTTGTGATCACACAGTGAGAGGGCTCCCAGTCATTCCTGGCCACATCCAGAGAATCCGCAGCGGCTTCGTGTGCTACCCGCCCACTGCAGCCCTCTGCCAGGACAGTCCCTGTGCACAGAGGGTCAAGGGTCCCAGCTGAGGTGTGAGGTGCTCCAAGAGCAGCAGTGTGCTAACATTCTGAAGGGCCCAGTGCTCCCTCCACAGCCTTGGCCCCAGCCCATGGCCAAGCGTCCTGACCAAGGGGCCTCCAGCAGCTGTGTCCCCTATGGCAGACCACCATGGCCTGCACTGGATGGCGCTACTCCAGCGGATGAACCGGCACACAAAGGCAGGAGTGAGGGCAGAGACCGGTGACAGCGCCCGAGGAGCACCCAGAAACCTGGCCGTCCTGTATTGGGGAATGCTTCAAGGCGCAGGCTGCCCACCCTGCACCACACAGCTAAACGCAAGCCACTTGCCTTCTTCATCAATTCTACCACCAGGAGCACCAACGTGCTTGTGCTACCCCAGCTCGCACCGACAGCCCCAGCCTGCCGTCCTTGGCATCTCCCAGATGGGTCCCGTGCAGCAAAGCTGGCCACAAGGAGCTAACACAGCACACACCACGTGTGGGCAGAGTTCATTCAGCAACAAATGCCTCTCGAGAGCTGCCCTCTCCATGGTCCCCAGGCTTTGTCCCACAGCGCGTTCTGCACATGCCTGTGCTACGGAAATCGGGGAGGTGGCAAGCAAGCATTGATACGTATATTGGGAATTACACACGATAACCCACTGAATAAAAGAGGATCCCATGAAGCCAGGCTGGTGAGTCAAATACATGGAGTGGAAAGGAACGCTCCTCTTTCCTCAAGAGCTCTTTGCCTCCACTGCACATGGCAAAGCACACACCGAGCCGGGGAAGGCGCTGCCTGGGATGGGAGGGTACCAGTGGGTGCTGGGGGTCCCTTGACTCCATGCACCGAGGGAACAGCACCGCCTTCGGAGTCTTCCTGCAGGAGATGCAGAGCTCGACCCTCAGCACGCAGACACCGCAGACAAACCAAATTCAGGGAGGCTGGAAGTTACAAAGAGCCCCGACCTTCCAGTGAGTGTCAATGGTCACCAAAAAAAACCCCCGAGGGACAGTTCCAAACGAACAAAGCCAAAGAGACGAGACGGCAAACTCAAGGCGAGATCCTAGACTGGGTCTTGCACAAGAAGTTGTTTATTTATCGCAGACAGTGGGGACACTGTTGGGGACATTGGATAAAGGTTCAGTAAGGTCCACAGATGACATCACTGTCAACTCTGTTCCTCTCCAGGCTTTGATGGTTACACAGCAGTTGTGTAAGAGTACTTCTTATTCTTAGGAAATACACACAGCGGAATTTAGGACATGTGAAGGGGTACCAAGTCTGCAATTGGTTCTCCAACCATTCAGTAAGTCATAGGACACCACATCCTCGGGGTGGCCAAGCTCCGTATACACGATGGCACAGGATTCCCGAGAACCTACACACACCCCACGTCCTTTATCTCCAGATGATTTATAACACCCAACACATTGTAAATGCTCTGTAGACAGTCACCACGCTGTATCACACAGGGAATGAGAAGAAAAGTCTGCACGTGCTCAGCACAGAAGCAATTCTTTCTTGAGTATTTTCAATACACTTGGTTGAACCCAAAGACGTGAACCCCATTCAGAAGGCATTAAAGCAGATGTGGGCAAACGCTAGCGCTGGGGACCCCGAGGGGTTAGAACGAGCAGAGCTTTGTGTGTAACCCCTGCAGCAGTGGTGCCAGTTGGAAAGTGCTTCAAGACAAACATCCTTGTAGGGAGAGAGAGGACAGGTCACTCGTCCAGCCCCGGGGAGGGAAGGCGACACGCCCTGGACTTGGCGCTCACCTGTGCCTCTCTCACCTGCTCGTTCAGGGATTCAGCCTCCAGCTGCAGCTCCCACACCGCCCCCGCCGCCCTTAGGTGGACTGAGCCACATGACAACTACATGGCAACTTCCTTTAACAGGAAAAATGGGAAAACACCCTCTCGGGCTTCACAAGATTCGTGGCAATAAAAGACCAATGCTGTAAAACAGACGCTGTCAGACGCTAAGCAAATAAAGAAACCAATGATTTTATTTAATTTATTTATTTATTTATTTGACAGGCAGAGTGGACAGTGAGAGAAAGAGACAGAGAGAAAGGTCTTCCTTTTGCCTTTGGTTCACCCCCCAATGGCGGCCACAGCTGGCACACCGCGCTGATCCGATGGCAGGAGCCAGGTGCCTCCCCCTGGTCTCCCATGGGGTGCAGGGCCCAAGCACTTGGGCCATCCTCCACTGCACTCCCGGGCCACAGCAGAGAGCTGGCCTGGAAGAGGGGCAACCGGGACAGAACCCAGCGCCCCGACTGGGACTAGAACCCGGTGTGCTGGCGCCACAGGTGGAGGATTAGCCTATTGAGCTGCAGCGCCGGCCTGAAACCCATGATTTTAAAAGGCTGAAAAACGCAGCCCAAACCAGCGCAGCACTGCACACGGGCTTGCCAGCAATCTTGCCAAGTCGCTATTTTCCAAGACAGGCTCGCATCTCTTTCCAGATCTCCACACTGCATATTCAACAATGGACTGTGGGTGACACAACTTCTAATCTAACAAATGTCATGAGAGATGCCTGCAGCTGCGCGGGTCGCTGTCCAGAGTCAGATTTTTCCAGACTGATTATGAAATCCGGAGACTAGACTGGTCTCTAGGAAACTCAGGTTCCAACTAAGATCCACCTGTCCTCCGTTCCCTCTGGCTATCTGTGACTATGAGTCCACGCTGCTTTATTCCTTACAGGCACGATGAAGCACACAGTGATGAAAGCCTGCCCAACGGCACCATGAGGCCAGCTCCCACTGACTGTACCCAAAGCACAGCAACAATTAGTTCATCTCACTTGAACACACAGAAGCGACCACCTTAACCATGCACTCACACATGCAACTGCCAGCCAGCCCAGGAGACGAGGGGGGAGGCTACACATTTGTCACCCGCCATCCTCTCGTCCTCCGCACTGAGGCAAGGCAGAGTGCGACCCAATGGCCGGGGTCTCAGGTGTACGCGGCATGACCTTTGACTGACTTCCTGGGGGACGGCCATGAAGGACTTGGATGCACAGCAAAGCCCCAGACCACCCATGTCACTGACCGCTCAGCTCAAGGCCACCATGGAGGTACAAGAGCCAGGTCCATGTGGGCAGGCCGGCAGGAAAACCTGGTGGTGTCACCCATTCATGCTTGGCGATTTAAAGAGACACTTTTACCAGCTGTCATTAGAGACCTGCAGTTCCACAGCCAATGGCTCTGATATGACCCCAGAGTTGGGGGGCTGTGCAGGCTCATCTCAGGTGTCCAGAGCCCACAGCAAGTGGCACGTGGCCACCCAGGGCCCACCACTCAGCCCTCGTGGGCAGCCTCTTCAAGCTGGCTGGGGAAACAGACAGGCCCAGCACGGTGGTCAGCTTGCCGCCTGGGCTCAGAGCTGCCTTTGTGTCCTGCATGTGCCCAGCCATTCTCTGGCAGGGGCCACGTCTTCCCCATGTCGGTGTGAGGACCAACCTCCTGCATGCACGGTGGCCCCGCTTCTCAACAGCTCCTCCCGGTCAGCAGGGAGAAAACCAAGCCCAGTCACAGGCAGCAACACAAAGTCCCACTGGGCAAACCAAGGCACAGGAAGTGGGAGGTGGGGGGTGGGGGTGGCGCTGGGGACACCGACACAGCGGCAAGCTGCAACGTCAACCAACCTTCCAAAAAACAAACAAAAGATGCCCTACCATTCGGATCAGCTAGAAGAGAGATGGCGAAATCAGAAAGAATGATATGTAATTTATCTTCTACAAACTAAGACTCGCTCTTCCTTTTGGATAGGACAGAAGCCTGTTCAGACACCATGGTGCTCGACAGCGTGAGAGCAAACCGCAATCGCACCCTGAGCCACATCTGCTGGGGGACTCCTCCTCTGAGCCAGTCCTGTGCTCCTGGTGGTCCCAAAGCCCAGACAGCTAAACATGCGCCCCCCCCCCCAACAGGGGGTCACTCCAAGAGTCACATCTACTCCACCAGGCAAGAGAAACAAGCAACAGATACACTGTTTCCCAAGAGGAAGCCCTAGGGCTACATTATAAAAAAACGAGCTATCAAGAACACACCTGCTTTAGCAGCAGCCAGCTATCCTCTCTCAAGGTTTGCATGCTCCAAATTACAGGCTAGTAATTAGTGGAGTCCTAATGCGTTTCAACATATGGGTGTGCAGGGGCAGGGTGGGGTGTTGACTCAGCGCACCTGCCTGTGGCAGGGCACCCTTTGCATTAGTGCTGGCACCTCTGCCTGGCACGGAGCGATGCCTGTCGCTGGGACCCACACCCCTGACGTGGGTGGACAGCTTTGCTAACGGTAAGCAGTGGAACTATCTCAGAGTCCATGGGAGAATCCCCGCTCTGGCACCGATGCTTCGAGACCGCACCCAAGAGTTCCTCGGGCAGCTCAGCCTGTGTGTACTGGATTTGTGCCTTCATCACTGGCAGTCAGCCCCCAGACAAATTCAAAGTGAGGGCAGCAAGGACACTGGCAGGCCACAGGAGGGCCGGGGTTGGGGGGCATGCAGGGAGAGAAGGGGTAAAGAAAAGCTCGTTACCCTGCGTGGGTAATACGCGTTGAACTCGTCTCCGATCCGCCGCAACTCCTGCGCGATCCAGGTCTCCGGACGCGTGTCTGCAGGTTCAGCCTGAGACTGCCTCATGGAAGCTGCAGCGGAACAAACACAACAGAATCACACTGTGCTCCACCGGGGACCCGGGCAAGGCCCAGGAGGAAGGTCCCAGGCCCACGCCCGCCTCGCCAAGGTCACTCACGTTCCTGGAAGCCCCCGCCCTCAGGAACTGCAGCCAAGCACTGAAGTGGACAGTGCTCCCTTGGTCAAGGAAGCAGGGCTGCAGTTGTTCCCCGTCCCAAGAGGAGCAAGCCCCGGCCCACTCACACTCACATTTATACACACTCACACATATATACACACTTACACACACACTCAGACTCACACTCTCATACATATAAATATACACACACATACATACACACTCACATATATACACACACTCATATACATACAAATATACATATACTCACACACATACAAACTCATAACACACTCATACACACACACACTCAGAATCACACTCTCATACACATATAAATATACACACACATACTCACACACAAAGGGTACAATACCAAGAAATATGCTCGTAACAGGGTAGAATCAAAAAGCTTAGCTGGTCAGGGAACAACTGCTTTGTGATTACAAGGGAAAAATTCCTAGGAAAATTTCCATCACCCAGGAACGTGAAAGCCAATGGTTGTCCCCAAGTAAAACAAGTGAGAACCTGAGAAACCTGGATGGGTTGATTTCCTTTTAAATTTTTATTAAAGTTTTATGCACTTATTTGAAAGCCAGAGTTAGAGTTAGAGAGAGAGAGTTAGAGATAGAGAGAGAGAATCTTCCATCTGCTGGTTCACTCCCCAAATGGCTGCAACAGCTGGAGCTGGGCAGATCTGAAGCCAGGAGCTTCTTCTGGGTCTCCCACATGGGTGCAGGGGACCACACACTTAAGACATGTTCTGCTTCTTTCCCAGGCACATTAGCAGGGAGCTGGATCAAAACTGGAGCAGCCAGAACTCAAACCAGTGCTTATATGGGATGCTGGTGTCACAGGGGCAGCTTAACCTGCAGGGAGATTGAGTGACACCAACGGCCAGTGCTCAGCAGTGCAGCCACAGGGCCGCAGAGCAGCATGACCGCAGGTTTCTCTCTCTGTTAATGCAGCTGCTGAAGACCGGGGTAAGTCGGCCAACACTCGGTGGCAGGGGAAATGCTCGGGGTCTAACAGCAAAGGCGTCTCTCTCTGCAAGGAGAAGAAAGATGCTGGCTGTCACCCTGACATGCGTCCCTCTGCAGGTGATACCATGAACAGCCTGAGATGGAGGAGTCAGAACGTGCGTCAACAGCAGGGCCCACGCCTGGCACTGGCCATGCCGAGGTGAAGCACTGCACCTGGTCCAGCAACACAGGGAGGTTCTGCACTTGAACTGCTGCTCGTGTGCTACTCCTTCATTCACCGTGCAAATGTGCATGCTGCACTCACGGCTCAACACGCACAGCACGCGTTAACCACAGCCAGACAGGTAAACACCCCTGACGCTCGCATTTCACAGTGGCACTGAACACAGACCGACAGGTCAGTGAGCCTGCTGCTGGTCCCTGGCTGACAGTCCTTAAGAGCGAACACCTGGGAAAGGTTTTGCCAAGTCGAAAAACTCTTGCCCTGTGAGTTTAAGGATGACCCCACTGGGACAGGGGGCTGCAGAGGGGCAGGGATTTCCAGGAGTCCATGCCAGGCAGGGTGGAGGAAACCTCTCCAGTGTCTGCGCTGTGTGAGTGAGGGGTGAACTGCCACAGGCGGCCCTGGGATGGCGGGCAGGGCCCCTGAGCACCCGATCATATGGAAACTGACCCCGGCTGCACTTCTGCCGCGCAAGTACTCGTAGTGCGAGTCTGTGAAAGCCGACGGAAATGACTACATGGGCAGGAAACAAAATTTCAGAGTAGACGCAACACTAGATGATGATGATGACGATGACGACGACAATGATACAGCTCACTCCTGTGTCCTGGGGCTGCAGACATATTGCTGGTACCAAATTATTACTTTTCTTTTCATATATCAGCAATTAAGCCTTCTTTCTCCAACTGTAGAAACTTTTAAAAAGCAAGCTCACTCTGATGGTGAAGGAAGACACTGGGTGTCTACTGCAATCCTGCTAGCGGCATGCAGAGACACGCGCGACCCACGAAGACGCACAGGTGTGCAGGCGGCCAGCAGAAGCCCTGTGGCAGCTGACAGGCCACCAACACTCTCCTCTCCAGGGCCTCGGGCCCCACTCCTTTCTCATGACACGTGCCTCAGAGGGAAATCTGCCTTCAACCCTGGTGGCAGAATGCAAAGACAAATCTGTGAACTGTAGATCCACATGCCTCGTGGAATAGTAACAGTCGCTGGTCAAGCGACCCCATGTTTCATTAATCAAGACCTTCACTGGTGTACCCAACCTCCACGACTGTCCCCTAGGGGCCGGGGTACACCCCAGCCCAACACAGGACACCCAAGCCCTGTGCCCAAGGAGCTCCTGTCCACGCTTGTGCATTCGGCACTACACTACTCCTGGACAAGGAGACTCACAAGGACACGTCACATTCCTCGGAACACGGAACAGAGCTTGCTCTCCCGGGACCCCCAACCCCACGGGGACGTCTGCTGAACACCGGCTCAGAGGGCTATGCTTGGCCCACGCGTGGGCTGGCATCTGGAAGCCCATCCAGGGCAGACGCTGTCTCATCAAAACAGGCACCCAGCGAGCACACCTGACCGGGCCAGCCATGGCGAGGGGGGCCTGGGACCCTGGGGGCAGATACCACTCGTCTGCTTTCCAGGTAACTGTTCTGCTGTCTCGGGAAAAGGAGAAAAGCAGATGGCCTGTTTCTTGCAGGGGAAAAGTTCATGGATAGAAACAGATCCAGGACACCTGGCAGGGAGACAGGGAGTGGGTGTGGCTGGGAGCCCAGGGAGCTGCACCCACCCGCTCTGGGTGTCTTCTGAGGACATCTAAGGGTCAGGGGAGTCCCATCAACCAGAGAGAAAGGTTGGGGGCGGGCTCGGCACACACTAACTGCCAATAGCTACTGGTGAAGAAGCAAGCTGGCAACAGTCTAAGGTGTGGGCCTAAAGAGCTGTTACAGAATAGCAAAGCGCAAGGTGACTAAAGGCACAAGGAGAGCCAGCCCGGCTGCAACGCTAACACCTGTTCCTCACCCCACCCCCATGCTCTGTTCTGTTAATGCTCAGCTTCTCTGCTGAGCAGCAGATTCAGTTCTTAGTCCTTGAATCCCCAAACCTAATAGCCAGCCAAGATGCACAAGCAACACTTGGTCACGCAGGGAGCTCGTACGACAAGCACGCTATTGTGAGTCCTGGGAAAGGCATCCTATCCCTGGGCTTTAGAAGGTGCACTATAAACATGAATTTCTTTCTTTTTTTAAAAAGATTCATTCATTTATTTGAAAGTCAGAGTTACACAGAGAGAGGAGAGGCAGAGAGAGAGAGAGAGAGGTCTTCCATCTGCTGGTTCACTCCCCAGATGGCCACAGCAGCCAGAGCTGTGCCAATCCGAAGCCAGGAGTCAGGAGCTTCCTCCGGGTCTCCCAGGTGGGTGCAGGGGCCCAAGCACTTGGGCCATCTTCCACTGCTTTTCCAAGCCATAGCAGAGAGATGGATAGGAAGTGGAGCAGCCGGGATTCGAACCAGCGCCCATATGGGATGCTGGCGCTTTAGGCCAGGGCATTAACCCACTGTACCACAGCTCCAGCACCATGTAAACATGAATTTCAAAGACGATTCATCAAGTGACACAACATCCTTGGGGCACACGGGATGCTTCTCCTGCACCTCCTCACTAGCCTAATGCCCCTGACCATCAGACATTTTTTTTTGCGGTCTCTGGCCACACAAAAACAGCCCAGAACTAGAGGATGGGGTCCAGCTGGCCAACTTGTCAACCCGTCAGCCCCACAGTGGCACAGGTCAGAGCCAGAAGGATATATTCCCTGTCGCATCTAGTTTTGCTAAGTTCTGAGCAGAGCATGAGGATAGCAAAGGGCTCTGGGGGTACGGACTCCCGGGGGTATGCCTGGAGCCCGAGGGGTTCACAGAAGGCTGCAAACACTGGCCACCCCTTTCCTTGTTACCCTTACCCGGCTACAGCCACGTTACCCTAAAGGTGGTGTAGACCACAGCAGGACTGAACATCAACTACAAATATTTTATTTTGCCATCTGCAAAGTACCTGACAACCACAAATGCTGACATCTGGTTGGTATAAAAGCTCTTTTTTTTTTTGAAACAAAAGCTGGGGCTGGTGTTGTGGCACAGTGTGTTTAGCCGCCTGCAATGCCAGTATCTCATAGGAGTGCCAGTTCAAGTCCCAGCTGCTCCACTTCTGATTCAGCTCACTGCTAGTGCATCTACGCAGTGGGGGATGGCCCAAGTGCTTGGGCCCCTGCACCCACGTGGGAGACTCAGATGGAGTTTCCTGGCTCCTGGCATCGGCCTGGATCAGCTCCAGCCATTTGGGGAGTGAACCAGCAGATGGAGGGTTCTCTCTCTGCCACACCGTCTCTCTGTAAGTGTGCCTTTCAAATAAATAAATAAATACATTTTAAAAAATAAAGAGATGAAAGCTTTGATTGCTAAGTGGGAAGATCACATTTTCAACTTAGAAGGCAATTTTACGTGAACAGGAAGACTTCTTCAAAGGGGAACGTGGTGCATTCTCTCAGCATCTAAACACGCTCTTCCCTCCACACACCTGGCACACACACCACTTCTGGGTCCAGGTTTTCTTCCTTTGGGAAGAAAAGCCACTTAGCAAAACTTCTATAATCCAACGAGTCAGACACAGGTGATTCTGTTAAAAGTGTGATGAGTCAGTTGAATTTTCAATAAAATTCTTAATTTTTTTTTTTTTAACTTTAGGACTCAGGGTGAGCATCATGGCCCAGACTCATCAGCCTGCCACGCAGGATGCCTGTGCCCACGTAGGAGTGCCTGGGACCTGCTCCTGGCTACTCTGCTTCCTGCTAATGCACCTGCTGGCTGCAGGTGGTGGCTCAACTACTAGGGTTCCTGCCACCCATG